CCTCACCGGGATCGATCTCAGGGTCTGAGGGAGGAGCACAAACTTCAAGAAGCAGAGCTGTCCTTGCTCTGATCTTCTGTCTTTCATTTTTCATAATCACGCCAGATCTGCAGGTGCTCTGCCTCCAGAGGGATCAGGGAAAGGGTCGGGTTTGAGAGGGGAAGGGAAGGGTCTGGTCCGGAGGCGCGGGATAGCCCTGGCTCCCAAACGGAGCAGAGGGAGACGAGGGAGGTGGCCGGAGGGACAAACCCCAGGATCAGCCCGGGAGCGGGTGCCCACCCGGGAGGGAGGTGCAGGTGCTGCTGCTGCACACACCGAGTTTGATCCATTTGCCGATAAAGCGCAGTCCCGCGGTCCCCCTGCCCGGGCCGGGCGCGGCGGGAGCGCGCACACAGCGCATCTGCCCGCGCACGGACGCGCGGGCTCGGGCCGACCCGTCGCGGCGGTGCCCGGCCCGGGGGGCCAGGGGAAGGTTTGGCCTCGGAGTCTGGTTGCGCCGCGTCCTCTCGGCCTGTCATAGACTCCCCTCAGCCTCCCCTGCCCGCCGGGAGCGACGGGGACGGGCAGGAGCCCCCGCAGCCGCTGCCCCCCGACGGGCGCGGGGTCCCGCCGCGGGAGCCCCCGCAGCCGCCCCTCGGGGCGGGAGGGGCGCGTCCCGCACCCGGCCCGGCCCCCGCCCGCGGGCTCGGGCTGAGCCGGGGGAGCGTTTCGTTGTCGCAAAACCAACGAACGAACGAACAACGACCGAAAAAAACCCCAACCCACAGATGCAAACGAAGCGCCAGCCCTAAAGGGGCCCCGGTGCCGCGGGGGTCCCCGCCGGCTCCGCACCCCGAGGCAGCGCTGCCGAGGAGCGGGGGCCGGGCGGGAGCCGCGCACCCCCGGGGCACAGGCTCGGGAAGAGGGGAGAGGGTGTCCCGGCTCCTGCCGTCGGGGCCGGGGCCGCGGCCGTCGCGCTGCCCCGGGACGGTTTGCCCGGGGGTCGCCGCGCACCGCGGGACGGGGTCGGGACGAGGGGCCGCGGGAACGGGCGGGAACGGGCGGGAACGGGCGGGTACTTACGGGCGAGGGCGGCGGGGCCGCTCGGAGCCGCTCCGGCGCTGCCCCGGGGTGGCCGGGCTTAAGAGCCGTCGGGCGGGCGCAGGACAATGGCCGGGAGGAGGGGGCCGGGGCCGGGGGGCGGCGGGAGGCGGGGAGGGGCCGGGGCCGCCCGCCGCCGCTCCGCCCCCCCGCGTCTGGCGTAAACCTGGCTCCGGGCTAAAAGAACCGGCGAGCTACCGGCGCCCGGGGCTGGTGGCCGCCGCGGACGGCTCGCCGGTGCCGGCGGCAGCGCCCGGCCCGGCCAGGCCCGCCCCGTCGCGTCCCGCCCCGCCGCGCCATGTCGCTGAGCCCCAAGCACACGACGCCCTTCTCGGTCACCGACATCCTGAGCCCGATGGAGGAGAGCTACAAGAAGTTCGGCGGCATGGACGGGGCGGGCGGGCTGGGCGCGCCCCTCGGGCCCTACCGCCAGGCGCCCGTGCCCCCCGCGCCCGCCGCCGTCCCGCAGCACGTCCCCGCGGGGGCGGCCGCCTACCACATGCCCCACGGCGTCTCGCAGTTCCCGCACGGCGCCGTCGGGGGCTACTGCAACGGCGGGCTGGGCAACGTGGGCGAGCTGCCCGCCTACCCCGAGGGGATGCGGGGCGGTGCGGCAGCGGGCGGCGGCTGGTACGGGGCCGGCGGCGACCCCCGCTACTCCAGCAGTAAGTGCGGGCGCGGGGCGGCGCGGGGGGGGCGGCGGCGGCGGGGGGCGGGCGGGGGAAGCCGCGGCCCCGACGGGGCGGCCGCCGGCGCTGAGCCGCCTCTCCCGCTCAGTCTCCAGGTTCATGGGCCCGTCGGCCGGGATGAACGTGGCCGGGATGGGCGGCCTGAGCGGCATCGCCGAGGGCGCCAAGGCCATCGTGCCGCTCCACGCGGCCCCGCGGAGGAAGAGGAGAGTGCTCTTCTCCCAGGCGCAGGTCTACGAGCTGGAGCGGCGCTTCAAGCAGCAGAAGTACCTGTCGGCGCCGGAGCGGGAGCACCTGGCCAGCCTGATCCACCTCACCCCGACCCAGGTGAAGATCTGGTTCCAGAACCATCGCTACAAGATGAAGCGCCAGGCCAAGGACAAGGCGGCCGCCCAGCAGTTGCACCCCGACGGCGGCGGCCTCTGCCAGCAGCCCTCGCCGCGCCGCGTGGCCGTGCCGGTGCTGGTGAAGGACGGCAAACCCTGCCCGCCGCCGGGCAGCGGCACCCCGGGCCCCGGGCAGGCCGCCTCCGCGCCCCCCGCCGCCGCCCCCGCCGCCCCCGCCGCGCACCCGCACCCCGGCTCGCTGGGGCAGGCGGCCGACCTGGAGGAGCTGTCGCCCAGCCCGCCGGCGCTGCACGGCCCCGTGCCCCCCCTCGCCCCCCTGGACTCGGCCGGCGCCGACTACAACGGCGGCATGGTCAGCCCCAACCTGCTCTACGGCAGGACGTGGTAATCGGTGTGTCCCGTGTGTCCCCCCCGCGACCCCTCGGCCCTCCGAGACCGTACCCGCCGGCCCAGCGCCTGCGGGGACCCCGACGGACGCCCGTGGGCCCCCGCGCTCCCCTCTCTCCGGCCCCTTCCCGTCCTTCCTTCTGTTTTTTTTTTTTTTTTTAAAGCCTCTCCGGTTTTTTGGATAAACGGCCCCGACGGCAGCCCCGCGGCGGGGCCGAGTGCGCGTCCACGCGTGGGCTGCGGGCGTGACCGCGGCGCTCCCCGCGCGCGCGTGTGTGTGTGAGTGCGCCGAGGGTGTGCGTGTGCACGGGTGTGCTTGGAGGGTCTGTGTGCACGCGTGGTCCTGGATCCGCGTCCCGTCCTGGATCCGCGTCCCGCCCGTGCCGCCGCATCCCGCCCGGGAGCGCCCCTGACGGGGCGGGGGGAGCCGGGGATCCGCGGGGCTCCGCTCCCGGCCCGGCCCCGCTCTCCTGCGGCAGCCCCGGGGCACCCGGAGCCCCGGCGTGTCCCGTCACAGCCCCGCTGAGCGCCACAATAAACCTTCTGAAGTGCAACTTATCTCGGCAGAATTAATTTCGCGGGGGTGCCCCGAAGTGCGATTCCGCTCTTGTCCCGATCGGAAGGTAAATTGAGTCGCGACTCGAGAGGCGGCGGCGGCGGCGGGAGCCGTGGCAGAAGAGCCCTGGAACGCCGGCGCTCAGATTTAAGGGGAAAAAACCGTTTTTCTCGTTGTTGTTGTTAAATATCGCTCAGTACATGAATGACCGCGCGTGGACGGGGCGCGCGTCCCGCGGAACCGCCACAACCGCCGGCCCTTCGCTCCGCTCCCGACGAGCTCAGGGACCCGCGGAGATGACGGAGAGCCCGGGGATTCCCGGGGCTGGACCCCGCTTCCCGCCGGGATGGAGGGCGGGGATCGGGCCCCGCAGCGCCGGGGCCGCCGGGCCGGAGGATGCTCCACGGCACAGCGGGGTTTATCCCCGCGCCTCTTCCCGGGGAAACCCCGCGCGTCGGGAAACACTCCTCGGGAGTTTCCGGCAATTTTTTTTCTTTCTTTTATTTTTATTTTAAATTTTATTTTATTTTTAACAATAAAAGGAAGCCTTGTTCTCACGAGTCGGCTGCTTGGTTCTCGGTGTACGGACTGATGGACAACACCAAAAGCCCCTTCCTTCCACCTCCCTCTCAGGCTCCAAGGATTTAATTCCGTGCCCCCCCTGCCCGGCTCCCCCATCCTCGGGGGAGCCGCTGGACCCCGGCCCGGGCAGGGGCTCCCCAGCCCCGGGCAGTGCCAGAGCCCGCGCCGCTCCCGGCTGTGCCGTGAGGGAACGATTCTGGGGTGGAAAACAGGGATTTCAGCCTCTGCCAGACCACGGACCGGCTCCCGGACCCCTTCCCAAGGCCCATGCAGGAGCCGGGAGGGGAAGTGGGGTGTTCTCCCGGGTGAGGAACGGCAGGGACCCCCTTCCCTTCATGGCAGATGCCACATGGGGACCACCAAGGCTCCCTCCCCTTTCCATAGGGGAGTGCTTCTCCCCACTGGCTCCCACAGGGGGGACAGCTCAGAGCATCTGGAGTGTGATTTCCCCCTCCAACTCTGTCAAATCCAAGGGGATGTGCCAGGCTCAGCTCCAGCTTGGAAAAAAAATTCTCTCTCTAGGTAGAGCAGCTTCAGGAGCTCCATGGGGATGGCGTCCCAGGGTGACCCCCAAACCCACCAGGAGCTGGGGTGCAGAGGCAGCCAAAGCAGAGCCCGAGGAGGGGGTTGCTCCACAGTCAGGCCCTGCATCCCACCCCTGGGCCATGGAGCCCAGGAACCCAACCCTCTGGGAGAGCACAGTGCTCCAGGCATCGCTCCCAGGGCCCAGGAGGGCATTCCGGGTTCATCCCACCTCGGGCATGTGGCCGACCCACCCCGCTCCTTCCTCCACCCCACTCCCACGAAAACTCACCCTCGCTGCTGGTTTTGTCCCGCTCAAAAAGCAAAATGACTTTTTTTTTTGAGCCCCAAATCTTTTTCCCCATCCGAGGGAGAAGGCCGTTCCTGGCCAGGAACGCTGCATTACAATGAAGGATTCTGCTCCACCCTCAATCACTTGAAAATAATGAATCCAGTTTGATGATTCCTTCCTCCCAAGGTTACACCCGGGTCTGTCTGGGCTTCTCCCTGGTTGCTGGTGATTAACACCTGCGCCCTGGAAGGAAGGAGCACCGAGCACTGTGGCATCGGGGCGAGAGCAGGGCTGGGAAGTTTACTGGTTTACACAATACATGAATTTAAGGGAAAAAATCCAAAGGGAAAGATGAACTGGATGCTCTCCTCATTTTTTTTTTTGTTTTGCTTTGTTTGTTTGTTTTGTTGCTTAAACAAATATTTTCGATGCTAAGATAGAGGCCGGGTAGAATCATTTTCCAAGAATTCAACACAAACGCGGGCGCGCGCAAGTAAAAGACACAAACAGGGCCTGGAGGGGGTTGAAAATTAACCACACGCTGCTGCTCAGAATTTCAAAAGCCACTTTATAAAGCAAATAAAAAATATTTACCAAGTTGGTACACTCACACAGAAAAATCCCTAGAAAGAGGTGCTAAAAACAAACGGAATCTCTGCCCTTCCGCGGCTATTTTAAATTAGGTATCAAACAGACAAATCCACCTCCCCTGCTCGGCTGTGCCCCCAGTAACCAAGCCAGGAACAGCCAGGCGTCGCAAAAGTCGAAATGTTTTACTTCCAAGTCCCAAAAAAATCCGCCCCTCTGCGAGACACTGAAGGAACATCCGACCAACATCCGCCCGGGACCGGCGAGGGCTGCGTGTTCCAGCGCTGCCGGCTGTGCCCCGGGAGCCCATCAAATCCCATTTCTGGGCATTCTTTAAAACTCCACGGCTGTTTTCAGGCTCTCGTGAGTGGAGTAGGGGATGTTTGGAGTCCGGAGTGACGGGCACAGCTGGGATAAGTAAGGAAGACAGCACAGCACCCCCACCTCCTCCAGCGGCTCCCGGGCTGCTCCACAACCTGCCGCTTCCCAGCCACGCGGCCCCCCTCCCAAAAAATCATCAGCAACCAGGTCCATAGGAAATATGCACATTTTAAACAAGTTTAAAAACTACAGGGATGGTGCTTAACAGTTTCATCGATTTCTTTTTTTTTTTTCTTTTTCCCCCTCTCCCCCACAAAATAATAGAAAGAACAAAAAGCAAAAAAAAAAACCAAATCCGGACGTTTCCTTTATTTAATAATAAAAAAAAAAAATAGAAGCCAGGAGCTAATTCCAGCTGTACCTTCCTGCGGGAGGAGGGAGCGGGAAGGGCCTCCCGGGGCTGTACGCCTGCAAGCAAATAAACAAAAGCAAGCATTTATTTTTTGGATTAACACCACAAGTAAACAAGTTTGGGAGAGCTCGAGGCGCCACTCGGGACTGGAACAATGCACCCTCCACATCCCCTGTACAGAGAGGTACCAAACCCCCTCCACCACAGTTACAGGGCTGGACATCCAACAGCTCTCCCAGGAAACACAGGCAGGGCTGAACCCCCGGAGGGGAGCGGGGCTGCACAGCACCGGTCACGGCTTCCCTCCGGGAAACAAACCCACCCAAAGCCAAGGGACTTCCCTGCAGTGACACCTCTGGGTGTGCTTTGCTTTTAGAGCCCCAGGCAGAGAGCAGCAAGTGGGGTATCTCACACTCAGGGCAGACAAACACAGTTTCTTTTTTTTTCCCTTAAAATACTTACGTGTACGGAAGTATTTTAAGGGAAAAAAAAATGAAAACTGTATTTTTTACAGAAGCAGCATTTTCCAGATTCATTCACACTTTTAATAGTAGGCCAAAGAGACCAAAATCCCACTCTGGAAATCACTCCAAATGAGATTTATTTTTGTACTTCAATTTAGGCATTTGAGAAATCAACTATCAAGCGAAAAATCCACTGGAAAATTTCACAGAATCGCCGGGAAGCATCTTAAATAATTTCCAAACCTGATATACTGCAGAGACCAGAAAGTAAACTAAATATGGTGCACCAACACCAGTGACAGGCTTTGTCTGCCCCTTACTTGGGGTGTTTTTGGTGGGGAGGGGAAGAGGGGCTGCCTCTCCTCTCTTCCAAAGAGAAATCCATCTTTACCCCGGCCCACGGCAGCCGAGACATCCACGGGAACCGCGGAGCCGGTGACCCAACCTGCCGGGAGGCTCCCTGCAGCCTGCACGGGGAGGGAACCTTGGAGCTTCCTTCCCAGGTTTGATTGCAGGCAATTAAAAAAGGAAACGGGCTGGCTACATCCCGTGGGGAAAAAAAATCCTTGAAAGGCAGCAGCAATCCCCGTGCAGAGGGACAATGCAGAGGCCCGGGAGAGCCGGCGCGACGCCGGTCCGGGCGCTCCGTTGTGTGCGGCCACGGGCTGGAACAGAAATGCCCAACACCTGCACAGCACCACCAAGTTTATTCTTTCGTTTTCTGGGAGAGCTGGAAGGCCCCAAACCCCCACTCCCAGGGAGCCCCCCGGATCCATGGCAGCTGCATTAATTTTGTAAGCACTCTGCGGCAGCGCGTTTATTAACCTCTTCAGGCCGCGTTCTGTACGCTGTAAAAAAAGAATTCAGAGGTGAAAGGGCCCAAAGATAATTATTTATGCTGCTACGTGTCACCACTTCCACTTGAATCCCTTTTCAAGGCTTTAAAGCTTTGAAATTTGCAGGCAGCAAGGCCGGATTCAATGATTGGGTTGGCACCCGAAAGCCTTTCAGGTACCCTCTCATTTCACTCCAGCCCCGAGGAAATAATGACATTGGAAAGTTCATTTAAAAATAACAACAACAACAACAACAACAACAAAAGGCAACAAAAATCTAAGGGGAGATAAAAAACAGTTGGAAAGCAACACACTGCAGAGGGAATTTTTAAAGAAATAAAATTACTGGAGCTGAAAGATTTGTCCTTAACACCCACCATGTGTGGGTATAAACAAAAGGGTTGTCACCACTCGGTTCTAACACTTCCTGCACCAGCAGATGGGTCTGTGCCAGTGCCAGGGGAATTCTGGTTTGGACAAGACCACAGTATGATCCAGGCTGTGGGTGCCACGAGGCTCCGAGACAGCTTCCCAAGAGGGAACTAACCAGGGATGCCCTTCCCAACCCTTCTGGAAGGCTATTCCTGCTCACCCTCGTGACTCCAGCTGTGACTGTTGGGCACTGAGATTTAAGGTTGGGAATGAACTACCTGGAGCACAGACTCCTTTAGCAAACAGAGCCCCCCACGCTGCCCAGGACGGAGGGCAGGGCAGAGTGTGCAGGCAGGCACACTTGTTCAAGGGTCTATTCCCCAGCCCAATTAAACACTGCCCAGGCTCCACTGGCACAAAGATCCTCCACTGACTTCTCTCCATTATCCCAGCAGCCCCTGTCATGGATTAGTGCAATCAGGCATTTTTTCCTCTGGCTCTGGTGTTTTGGGTAAACCTGCGCAACCCAAAATGAAAGACTTTTGAAAACTGATCCTACTAATACACCTCATCCAAATTTAAAATACAAACACCACTGGGGCCTAGTTGGGCAAAGGTTCAAGCCCCACTACACTTCCCCAGTAAGCTCAGTGTGACCATCACCCGTGCTGGTGAGTTCTGCTGCCAGTCAGACCCAGTGCTGGCAGGATTTGTACTGGTACTGCCTCCCCTGTGCTGCTGCTGGGCCAGGTAACACATGTGTCTCTGCACTGGGGAGGTGGGCAGGCTGAGAGGAGGAAAAAAAAAACAACCTAGGAGTGACTAAAAAGTGACTTGTCTTGAGCTGAGCCAGGCTCCAGGAGAAGGCACGTTTCCAACAGTTTGTGCCTTGGTTTCCAGATAAAATATTGGGCAACTGTGCTGTCACCCAGCAGCTGAGCCCTCCTCCTCCCCAGCACTGAGCAGGAACCTTCCCACAGTTCTGACTTCCCCAAGCAGCAACAGAACCAAGAGTTTAACCTAGATACCTGAAATTTATTTTAAATCAGTACATAGCACTGGAAACACTCAGAGATCTGGAACAAGGATATATAACAGATCACATTTTACTGGGAACAACCCCCCTCCCAAAACTCCCTAAGCAAAGTCACCTGCTACTTTCAAGCAGCATTTTCACTCTGTGGCATTTTCATGAACTGCTGACAGAGTCACCTGTAATTTTGGATGAGGTTCTCCCATCATGTTCCCTTGTTTCCATGTAACCACACAGAGCTATTTTCACATGTCCTTTCCCAGACATGTTTATTCCTGGGGTTACATTTGCATTAAGTAGTTTTTCAGCTAAGAGAAAGCCAACAAACACTCGAGAGGAAAAATACAGGAAGTCCACATTTAAGAATCCACATTTAAAACATGCTGGGGAGAAACCCTTCTGACCCCAAAAGGTGTAGCTGTGGATTCCCTCACAGGAGAGGTTGGAATACTTGCCTTCAGGTGATGTTTGCTCAGGCTGCAGGAAGAGTGTCTGAGCTGTGCTAACGGACAGGGTGGTGGTGCAGTCCTGGCACAGACCTCGTGCCAGGGGAGGACAAGGCTGGGAAGTCACCTGCCCGTGCTCTCAGTGGGGACACAATGACACACTGGAACCAGCTCTGGAATGCCCTCCCACGCCACACTGCCTGCCCACAGCCACGCCAGAAGGAAGCCCTGGAGGGGAGGAGGACAGAGGGTGTTCCTACCTGTCTGCCCCTGTCCATGCGGTCCTCGGGTCTCTGGGGGTATCCCATGGGTCCCATCCCCTGGTACTGCGCCGGCTGGAACTGGTTGGGGGACTGCAGCATGCGGTTCCAGGCAAGGAGAGGAGCAGCTCCAGCACTTCTGTGTAAGGAAGAGACACTGCAGTGTGAACCCACAGACCCACAACATGTCCCCCAGAAGCGGATTTGCCTCGGAGCCGAACAGGGTCCCCCCAGCCGTGCCTGCAGCGGGACTGCGGGTGGCCAGGTGTTAGAGGGAGACCAGGGAGGGGGGAATATCTCCCCAAATCTCCATGAAGGACACCTTTGCTCATGGTTTCCTTCATCACAGCCTGAAGCTGCACAGCCAGGTGCTGCCACGAGCAGCAGACCCAGAGGTTTTTCCAATTCCCTGGACGGTTCCTGTCCACCCTCTGTTCCGGGGGCAGATCTGCCGACTCCCCCGCGCTGCTCCCGAGCCCAGCTCAAAGCCCAGCTCAAAGCCTGGCCCAGGGTTCCCCACCGTCCCAGGAGTAAACATGTGCCACACGGGAGCCGGGGGCTTTCTTCTCTGAGCGCCCAGACTCCTTCTGGGAGCCCATTCTTCCCAGTTAATTGCAGGTTGCAAATGAATTCTTACGGCGAGTATTCGGAATCTAGGCTAGGGGCCTTGGCTGCTTTTTCCCATCCATTATTCTGCTCAATATGTCAGGAGGTCTGATCGGGAAGAAACCTTTTCAAGTTCTATTGATGCTGTTTTCAATTGACCACGGTGACCTAGCAACATAAGCACTAATTGGCACGGGCTGACTGACATTTGGTGTACAGTTTAGATGGGAACGCAGACCCCACGTCCATTATAACCCAGTTTGCCATGCCAGATTACCAACAGCAAGAAATGTTTTCATTGCCTTCAAGTGCCCGTTCTGGCATTACAGTTATAAAGCAACAGGTATAACACGTCAAACATCGTTTGATTAAAAATGTTTTTTAAAAAAATAAAAATAAAAATGCTTTGGGCATGATTGGGTCGTTAAAACTGAGCATGGGTGAGGGGGGAACAACCCCTCACAGAACTCAGGGGTTCTGCAGGACAGTATCATCTTGTAAAGGAAAAACAGGGATAGTGGGGACAGTTCATCTTTCCTGACCCCCCTTGATGAGGGAGTCGACAGAGGCAGGGCTGGTGGGAGATGAGGACAGCAGAGACAGGGGCTCCATAATCCCAGATTTATCTGCTGGGATGGGGACTGCAGGGAGCAGGAGCACTGCTGGTTTATCTCCTTCACTGCAC